TCTCATGATTGTCTAATTTTAGGTAGAGAGATAAGGGTGAAGGAGGTCCCCTTTACCACTTTGGGTCCAGGGGAGCAAAGGTTGGGCATTCTTGGTGGATAAAAATAACAAAAACCACGATTTATCAAGCGTGTATTGTGTGCTAGATAGAAACAGTAGCTCCCACTGAATCGTCACAATGACTCTGTGAGATTGGAACAATTACCAACCCCATTTTATAGCTGGGGAAACTGAGCCTTGCCCATTGTCATTGAGTGGATAAGTTGCAGAGCTGATATTTGGACTCAATCTGTGCCTCCAATGGTTGATCTCTTTCTGTAGCACCTGCCACCTTTCAAGGGACTGTCTGTAAACCTGAATTATCCCTGAGGACCCCAACCTTGTAGTTCTTATCTTGGCTGGCAATTATGGGAAGGGACCTGAGTGGTGTGGTGGAACAGACATCCTGGGCTGAGGTAGGGAACTAGGAATGGAGTTCTGGGTCTACTGATAATAATCTGTGTGGCTCTCCTGGGGCTATTATGATAATGCAGGTGAGAGAGGAAAGGGACCAGCTAGGAAGAAAATTAATCTATTTTGAAGACGGATCAAATGTGGGGTGTGAGAGAAAGAGGAGTAAAGAATTACCCCAAAGTTTTCAACTTAATCAACAGGAAAGATGGAGTTATTAATACCTAGAGCTGAGGAAGAAAAAATGCTTATGAACACATTTATTTATTTAAATTTTTAAAAAAAGATTTATTTATTTTAGAGAGACAGAGAGAAAGCATGCAAGCAAGGGGAGGGGCAGAGGGAGAGAGAGAATCCTCAAGCTGACTCCCTGTTGAGCTTGGAGCCGACACGGGGCTCGATCCCAGGACCTTGAGATCATGACCTGAGCCAAAATCAAGGGTCAGATGCTTAACTGACTGAACCACCCAGGTACCCCCATACATTTATTTATTTATTAAGATTTTTTGTTTTTAAGTAATCTCTACACACAGTGTGGGGCTCGAACCCCCAACCCTGGGATCAGGAGTCGTATGCTCTGCTGACTGAGCCAGCCAGGTGCCCCTGAACACATTTAGATTTAGGTGGTTCATGAACTCTTGCTGAAGTTCAAGAATGGAATCTTGTGTGCAGCAGATGTGGTCATGGCCTACTTAGATCCTTGATCCTCATATTTTCAGCTACTTCTAATGGCCAGCAGCTGCCACCAGAGTCTTCCTGGTCTGGCACATGGCAGGTGAGAAGGGCTAGCAGGGAAATGCTTTCTGGAAGGGCTCTCAGCCAAAGCCTGGACTTAGTGTACACATACCCCAGCTCCCTCACCCCTCAGATGAGATGAGTTTGAAGTGTGTCCCTGTGCTCACCCAGAGGTCCCTACTGGGATTGAGCTTCCAATGCCTGCAATGGTAGCCTGTTCGATAACACATCTTTGAGCACATCTTGTACTGGCTGCCTTTCTTTCCCTGACTCACTTCTTCACCCTCCTGCTGGTGTTTCTGGGGATCACCTCCAAAAAACTACTTACACTTGAATCATTGAATCATTGTCTCAGTGTTTGCTCTTGGGGGAACCCAAATTGAGACACTCTGGAACAGGGGAAGACAGGCTTGTGATGTGGTTCTAGTTTGCCTGGGATGGAGGGGTTCCTGGGACATGGGACTCTCAGTGCTGAAGATGGAAAGTGCTGGGCAAACTGGGATGAGTTGATCGCCCTTATAGGATAGTGCAGTACCAAGAAAACCAACAGAAGAGAAAGCTTCCAGAAGTAAAGGGGATAATGCATATGTAGATCAAACCATCATGTTGTACAACTTTTATCTGTTAATTATAAACAGGGAGCAAGGAGACTGGGGAGCAAGGAGGTGCCAGTAAACCTGGAAAAAACCTGGAAAAAATAAAAATAGACCTGGAAAACTTGGAAAAAATAAAAATACTTGATTATTAAAAAAAGAAGAAAAGAGGACCAATGGAGTCAACTGTGACCCAAATGTCAAGTTAGAATAGATTGAGAAGCCTCCATCCTTAGCACTGAGGAAGCATTTGGGACACTGAGCCATTCCTGGGTGTGTTGGAGGCAGAAATGAGACTGTAGTAGCTGAGTAGTGAGGGGATGGGAGGAAGTGGGGACAGCAGAGCATAAACAACGTTTCTAGAATTTTGACTGTTGAAGAGAGAGGGAGAGAGAGAGAGAGGGAGAAAGAGAGAGGTAATTGCAGCAGGGAGGATTTTTTGGGTAGAAGGGACCTGAATGCCTCCCCCTTACTCTTCCCAACCCCCCTATTATTCTCATGTCAGATCTCCTGGGACTCCCAGACTAATTTTTTTTTCCTTCATAATTTTCTTCTTTTGGCATTTTGCTCTGTGCTTTAAGAGATTTCTTCCATGTGGTCTTCCAAGCCACTGATTAGGCTCTTGACAGTGACCACACTCTTCTTTAATTTACCCAGAAAATTTTCTCTTTTTAATTATTCCATTTTTATTTAGTTCCATAAAGCATTTTGGTGCTGTACTTGAATCTCCTTACATTCTTATTTTATTGTGTTCAATTCTTACTGGAATTATTCTTGTTTTAAGTCGTCTATCTACTCCAGCAGCTCTATTTGTTGGGTGTCAATTACATCAGTTCATCCTTTTTCCAGCTACTAGGACCTCTCAATGTTGTCCTTTCTTCTTGGGGCTCAGACCTGGGGGTTGAGAACTCTAAGCAGGGGCAGTTTCCCAAGTGATGGAAGGAGATGGATTCACCACCTCCTTGGCACCTCCTTGCTCCCCAGTCTCCTTGGTCCCTTCTAGATTTAGGAGCAGGGTTCCTGTTGAGGGCCAGAGGGATCACACACACACACACACACACACACACACACACACACACACACACACAGGAGTGCTGCTGGCCTATCCCAGGAGGTCCATGGACCCCTGTGGGCCAGACTCTTCCTGGAACAGATGGTGTCTGATCTTCAGCCTAGAGTGCTCTTCAGCTTATCTTGGGACTCGCCACCTGGTGCATGGGGGAGACATTTCAACCCCAGATTTTCCTTTGGGGATTTCCCCAGAGATACCACTCTCATCCTTACCCAGCTGCCATTGGTCCCAGCAGACTTTTGCTGAGTAGATATATTAGTGTAGGGGGTAAAGAGGAATTGAGAAATGTACAAGTGGCCATTTTCCTAGCAGCTACCATTTCTCTTTCTTTAGCAGAGGGGCCAGCAAACTATGCCTTGGGGGGGGGGGTCAAATCCTGAGTGCAGCCTGTTTTTGTATGGCCAGCGAGCTAGACATTGTTGTTATATTTCTAAGGGGCACTCACACACACACATATTCTGAAAAATCTAAAATATTTGTTATTCAGCCTTTTGCAGAAAAAGTTTCCTGACCTCTTTTTAGCATATTTAAATACCACTGGAGAAGAACCAGGAGAGAGGATGTCAGAGAGGTGGAAGACTCAATACAGAGAGAGGAGATATCAGTGGAGGAAGGTACCCTAACAGGCAGGAGGGGATGAGCAAAGCATAGAGGGAAGGATTAGCCTTAAACAAGAGGAGGGACCTCTTTGCCGTTGTAGAAGAATGGAGGAGGGGACTATTGCCATTGATGAGGGAACGAAGCAAGGGTGGGTATGGATGTGGATGTATTTGTAAAGAATATCAGGAAGTTAAGGTAGTTTCCATCAGCTGGTGTTTATTATCGCTGTGAAGTAGGAGACAAGGTCTTCTGCCTCACATAAAGGGAAAGGTGATGAGGATTGAGGAAGGAAGTGAAAAACTGTAACCTTCCATGAGGGGAAATTGATTCAGGATAAGAAGAGCAAGTTCCAGGTAACATGGAGAGTCTTGTTTAGATCAGAAAGCATATATTTGTAATGACTCCAAGATGAGTGATTCTGGGATCTCACTGCCCTGATGGAAAAGTGGTTAAGAGATGTGGTCTGTTCATAAGGAAGGATGCTTTGGACTGCAAGTAACATTACCTGACCTGAAGTGGCTTAACAATAGGGGCTTATTTGTCTCACATAAGAGGAAGTCCTAGGTTTGGTTCAGCAGCTCAACAATGTCATAAAAGCCCAGATTATTTTCATCTTTTCACTCTTCCATCCTCAGTATTTATGTGGTACCTTCTCTCTAAGCATCATATTATTGTATAACAGCCCAAAACAGGAAGTAATGGTCAGGTTCTTCTTGAATTTGTTTTGTTTTTATCAAGGAGAAAAAGTATTTTCCAGTAGGTGTTTCTTATATCTCATTGTCTAGAATTGGTCCAAATGCACCCATCCTAAAACAATCTCTAGCAAATAGGAATATGATCATTATGCTTAGTTTAGACTAGGGTTTCTCCACCTCAGCACTACTGACATTTGGGGATTGATAATCCTTTGTGGTGTGTATGTGGGAGCTGTCTTGTGCCTTGTAGAATGTTTAGCAGCATTCCTAGCCTTTACCACATAGATGCCAGTAGCATTCCCCGCCTTTCTCCAGTCATGACAACAAAAAATGTCTTCAGACATTGTCAGATGTCCCCAGTGGGGGGAATCACTTCTAGTTGAGAATAACTGGGCTTAAACCAATCTCAACTGGCCCCATGTGTCCAAGCATATTGCTGTCCCAAGTCAGCAAACAATGAAGGTTCTATTAATAAGGAGCATATGATTTGGTGAAGACTGCTGAGCAGACCATCTGCAGTACTACCATTGTTGGATTGGTCCTGGATTGAGGTTTTCCCAGCTAGTTATGGAATCAGAACAAGGGAGCAATGTGTTGAAAGTATGGGAGAAAATCACTTGACATGGTTGATCATGAGATTTAGCCTGGATAAGAAAGGAGGTAAAGCTGATGGTTTGGGAGAAGCTGATGGTCTGAAGGACTGGATGAGTTTAAAGAGCAGGGTCAGGATGAGTGAGTATAAGAAAGTGAGGAAAGGCCTTGGAAGGGGCTACCTTTTTTACAAAACATCAAGGGAATATTTGCAAAGGCCATTATTTGGGCATCCAGGGACAAGCACTGGCTGAACACATGATAGTGAAGAGAAATCCAATGAAACACACATTTATTGAGAGCCCAATATGCAGAACAAACATTTCAGGGAGTAAAGGCTAAACCTTTCTTCTCCAAGGATGACATCTATAATGATTTCCCTTGTCCTCAGCTTTGTTGTTCACCATGCCAACCAGATCCATGGGTGTGACTTTCCACGTGGAGTTGAATGTTCTAGTTTGAATATTTTCTCTTCATTTGCTCTGAAGAAACATCCCCCCACAAAAGATGTTTAGATTAAAGGTAGATGTAAGGATGAAACAAAACAAACCACTACCACCAACAAAACAGAAAGAAAGAGCGGAAGTGGATTAAAGGCAGAGAGTGTTACGGAAGTGGTAGGTTCTTTGCCTACTCAATACCATTTGCCGAACAGCCAAATAACAAAACAGTATTTGATGGCAAGGAGGTGATTTATTCAATGGCCAGAGAACAGAAAAGGGGAGCTCATGTTCTAAAGGCATCTTCTCCTTGATTAGGTCATTGTTAGGGTTTTATGGGGTTAGGGTAATTAAGGGACTGGTAAGCAAGCTGACCTGGGGTGGGGTGTTTCAAGGAAGGGGGAGGAGGCTTCTAGGATTAGAGTGCCACCTCTGTTCTTCCCTTAAATGGGCACAGTGGGATCTGTCATGTTGCAGGTAGTTATGTTTTTTGTTATTATAATTAGATGGTAATGATCTTGAAGTCATCTGGAGGGTTAATATGGCATCTGAACTGGATCACACTGGTCAAAAAGTGGGTTATTATGGCTTGTTCAGAGCTTGTTAGTAAGTCCCTAGTGACAAGAGCTCCATCCAGCATGCAAGGATGACACAATCTAGCATTTTGGAATCCTACGTCAGGTGTGGCCTTCTGCAGCTTATATGGGAGGACTTCTCAAAAATCCCATATGAAGAATTCTTTGTTTTTTTTTTGAAAAAATTTCAGACATAGTAGCCTGCTCCAGAATTTAAGTTAATTTGTGTCTATGAAGAAAGGCTAGACTCTAAGCCCCATGAAAGCAGAGACTGTGTTGGTCTTATTCCTTTTGTAGGTCCATTACCTACTACAGTACCTTGACACATTGTAGAACTCAACAAATATAGTTTTTACCACCCATATGTTACAGCTTGGTTTAAAAGCCCCAAGTCCCACAAGAAAACCAATACCTCCTATAGCAGCCCATGAGGATAGAATTTCCTGGCCTGGTTGAGGAATGAGTCATTGTATGCAGGAAGTCCAAAGCTATCATTCCCCTCCTACTATTTATGGTTCATTCACAGAACTCCCTGCCCAGTCAAACATGACTTTTTACAAACAATATTGCCTGGTTACACAACTGGCCTTTCAATGTTAACAAGTTTCTAGGGAACAGAGCTAGAAATTTAACCCAAGGGCATATTAACCCATGGAAAGTGAAGGGATTTTTTTTTTTTTTTTTTAGCTTTTTAATCATATCCTGTGCCTAGAAAAATAAAAGCTTAAGAAATTATTTTAATTAAAATTGTAAATGTTATATGCAACTAATGAATCATTGAACACTACATCAAAAACGAATGATGTACTACACAGTGGCTAACTGAACATAATAAAAACATAAAATCAGATACAAATACAAAAAAACTAAAGTGAATGTATTTCTTACAGGTAACTAATACATATAGCCCCCTTTCAAAGATATGATCATCTTATTCAACTTCCACAATGTTAAGTAATGATAATAAAATATCTCCAGTTATTGGAGTGCGGGAAACTTTGGAAATTATTTTGGATTATCTGGGAAGTCTTTCAAAGGTCACAGTTAGCAGCCAGCACCTTTTACAATTTTACTTTTATTGGGCATGATTAAACCTAATATTCATAAAATTTTTTTCTGATCACTTGACATGCCCTAAACCTTTTTTCCTGGTCCTGTTTTCCTTTTGGTCCTTTTTGAAAGATTTAGAATGAATTCTCCTTTCTGCCCTCCAAATAGGGAGAGATGTGTTTTTAGTGACTCAATATTTCCAGTGCTGAGAATATCACATATTAGCTCAAGAAAAGTAAAAGATAATGTGTCAGAAATTTCTCAATTTTTTCATTTTAAAAACAATACATTCTAAGGCTCCTTGGCTAGCAGATGTGCTGGGTGTACACATAGGAGTACACAAATGAAACTGGGAAAATTTTTATGGATTATGAGTTTGGAGCCCATCTTGCTCATCTAGGGGCATGCCTTCTTAAAGAAGTATATTCTCTAATTTCTCCAAAAAGACAAATAAAGGAAAACTATAGAGAGGTACAAGGTAGTGCATTGAGCCTGAGTTAAATCAATGGAAGAATGGGTGGATACCAGCCACTGAGTTCCACAGAGGTCTTCTTACTAACAGGACCATTTCCTTTCCCAGGCAGTTCCATTATTCCATGTACCCCTCCCTTATAATTATGTAGAACATCTAGGGTGGAGTCCCTCTCTTTTCCATGGTATCTACTAATCGCACTGGGCTTACATTCACCTCTCCACAGGACAGCAGGATTTCAGAGGATGGTGACCACTCTGCTATGTTGGTGATTGTAAGTCTACCCCCCAAAACATTCTACTTTAGATGGTAGTGGTGCTGGTGATATGTCTTACCCCTATTCCTTTGTATGACAAAAATATATACACAAGCTAGCTTAAGCACTATCAGTGATCAGGGAAGAGTCACTGAGGAACAATATAGTGAGAATGGGAAATGCAAGCCAGGTCATCAGGAAGAGCTCTTTGCCATTCCTGCTGGGCAAGGGAGCTCATACTAAGACGGGAGAGGGGATTGGTGTGTTGGGGGGGAAGCATTAGAGTAAGTCACAAGCTCTCTTACTTCACTGGGTTTTGAGTCAGCGCCAAACTTGGTGGAAAGCGTAAAAGTCTCAGACTCAGATTTAGATTTCGTGATCTCTCCAAACCAGTTTCGGACCTGGAATATCAAAGAAAATACTGGAAAGTTTTTGTTAACAGTGGTGAAGAGAAAACCAGTGAATCAGGAAGAGAATAAAGACATTATTAAAAAGAGTTTCCCTACAACATGTGGTATATATGTATATGGAATATTATTTATGGAGCCCTAGAAAGGAAGGAAATTCTGACACAGGCTACAACATGGATGAACCATGAAGACGTCATGCTGAGTGAAAGAAGCCAGACACAAAAGGACAAATCATGTCTGATTCCACATATATGAGATCCCTGTAAGAGTCAAATTAGTTGAGCCAGAAAGTAGAATAGTGGTTACTAGGGACTTAGCAGTGGAGAATGGCTATGTGGATAGACATGTGATAACACAAATAATTACAAAGGTAATCGAAGTGATTGGCATATATGTGTTCATTGCCTAATTCTTTTAACTTTTTTGTATGCTTGAAAATGTTCATAATAACATGTTGAAAAAATTAACTTATTATGTAATGCCATCATAGAGCTATTAAAACATATTAGTATGGAGACTATACCCTCACATGGAAATATGTTTAAGAATTCAGATGTTTAAGTGGTGTGGCAGATTGCATTATGGATTTCAATTATTCACTCCTCTGTCATAGTACACGCTCATGGTGTAATACTTAGCCTCATGATGGGTGGAGGGTTCTTTTCCCTTGACTTTGGGCTTGGGCATATGACTTTCCTTGGCCGATGGAACGTCAGTGGAAGTGATGCAAGCAGGACCACAAGGCTTGAAATGGCCTTGCCCAGTCGGGCTTGTTTTCTTGTGATTTAGCTACTGTCATGAGAAGAACATATCCTAGGTTGCCGCTCCCTTTCTGCCAAGCCTCAGGATGAGTCACAAGGAGCAGACCTGAACATGATCTGCATCCTGGAGCCAAGCCAAGCTGAATCCAGACAAGATCAGCTGAACTTCAATCATCCTTCAGACTTGAGAATGAGAAAAGTAAATATTTGTGTTTAGGCTACTGAGATTTTTTAGGTTGTTTGTTACCCAGCAATAGCTGACTATTAAAAGTGGGAAAGCTGATGGAAAACATATTTCCTTGATGTAGCAATTATTTACTTTCTGAAAGCTGTTAATAAATTGATGTATCTTACAATCAATAACATCTTAAAGTAGAGAAGATATGGATAGTGTTTACACATGGCTCACCGCTCATATGAAAATTTAGAGAACATAGATTTAAATATTCATTAATGTATATACCTCCAAATATTTATCTTTATGACAATAACAAAAGGGGTTGCTGTTTACCTGCTGGCTGAGGAGGCAATACACCAAGAAGATGAAGAAGCCCTGCAAGCTGTTGATGATGGTGAAGAGGTAAGCCATGACATGGGCAGCTGGACCCACCTGCAGGATGCCCAGGAACCATGTGCAGCCCAGGATGAAGAGCTGAGATGTCATTTTGAATGTCAGCATCCTGAAGGGAGTCATACACAATGATGTGAAAAAGCTAATAATGGACATGGACACCCTATTGTGTGGTTATTAATGGTGAGGACTCTGGAGCTACTCTGGCTGGGTTTAAACCCAAGGCAGAACTAATTGGCTTGTGACCTTGGACAAGTTACTTTACCTTTCAATAACTCAGTTCCCTCATCTTTATAATAACCCTGTTTCACACAGTTGCTGCCAAGATTAAATGGGACTTTAACATATGTAAAGTATTTAGGAAAGTATGTAAAACAAAATTAGTACATATATAAAGCATTCTAAAACTGGGTGCTCTTTATCTCTCTCATTATATCATTTATAGATGAAGTGTCATATAATTTATTATCCAGACAGGGAGGCTTTTGAGGCAGATGTGGTGCTAATTAACAATTACAGTGGGTCAACAGGCATAACTGGGACCATCCCAGGCAAACTAGGATGTAAGGTCACCTTACTTATGTATCTATATATCCCTAATTAGAAAATATAGTAATACATAAGTGAGAAAAGCTAGTTGGGGAACAATTTGCATAGTGTGATGTTACTGGGTGCATGCCTGTCTGTTCTACAGAACATGCACAGCCCAGAAAAAGGTCTGGGGAAAATATTATACATATCATACACTTTGTTACCTCTGGCTTCCCTGAGAAGTGGAAGGAGAAAAGAAAGGGAGGAGTTAGCTGCTTTCAGATTTTACTTTATATATTTAAAAACTTTTGAAAAATTTTTCAACAAATGCACTATTTTTGTGATTACAATGAAATCAACAACAAATTACATGTTCACATAAAATGGATGCTGCAAGATGAAAAAAGTCCTCATCGTCCAAAATGTTGTGAAATAATATCATACAAAATATATTTTAATAGAAATCCTTCCCAAACCTATTGCATCTGTGTTATGTGGCAGAAATTGCTGTTTTTCTCCCCCCCATTCTCCTCTTCATTTTAGTGCTGGATCCTTCCTTTTTTGAGTTTTATCAAGGACACATGCCTACCCAGTTAGGACTACATTTCCCGGCCTGCCTTGAAGGTAGGTGTCACTGTGTGATCAAGGTCTAGCCCTTGAGATACGGGCAAATGTGGAACATGCAGCTTCTTCCCATGGATGGGATACTGGCAAGGAAACATCTGGGGAATATGGAGCAACAAACTAGAAAGGACTCGGGTCTCTGGATTCCTTTGTGGAGCTGAGCTTCCCCACTAGCCCTGGACTGCTCACCTTTGGACTGTGACATGCGAATGAAATAAACTTCTATTTCACTCCTTTCTTAGGGTCTTTTTGTCACTGAAGCTTAGCCCATACTACAGCTAATACAAGCTCTCATTAACTGTGACACTGGGTTTGCTAGCTCCTGGAACTTGTTTGTGGGGTGTATGTGTGTGTGGATGTGTAGGAGGCACCAATGGGGCATAAGTAGAGAAAAGAGGGGGTCAGAAAATACCATTTACCCCACCTTACCTTATATTCTGGATGGTTGACACTTCACTGTTGAGAGAGGAAAGTTTCCTTTTCAAAATCCAAAGGACCAGGAGAAAAAGAACTAAATTCACCTGCAGGAATGACACAGATCATGCAGAACGCAAGTTAAAATAATGCACTGTGTCCGCTGTAAATTGCACACAATTCCCACCTCCCTGCACGTGGGATTGAATTGGTAGCAGGTGGAAAAATCAATTCATACAGCTGAGAAAATGTATGCCCCTTATGCTGTCTTGCACCCAGCATGCCCGGTGCGTCTTCTTCGGTCGGGAACCCTGGAGCCACATACTCACAAAGATGATGGCACAGACGGGGCCAAGGAAACTCCAGATGAATCCCTGGTCCAGGTTGAGCCAGCAGCTGGGAACAATGGGAAAAGGGGCACAAAGAGAGATCAGAGAAAGCGCATGAAATGAACACTTTTCCCAATGCTTTGCCAACATCTCCTGAAAATGTCAGTGGATGACAATGAAGGCTTTGATTGTTCACTACCATGTGTTAATGCTACACTAAACATTTTACAAGCACAGTCCTGCTGAAGTTTTAGACCAGCATCATGAGGGTGGGACCATAGGGACAACTGTTATCCCTGTTTCGCTAATGGGGGCACTGAGACTTGAGGACTCGAGGTCCCAAATTATGGGAAGGATGAAACTGGGACCTAACCACAAAATGCCTTCTTTCCAGAACCTTCCACAGTCTTTTTTTTTTTTTTTTAAGATTTTATTTATTTATTTGAGAGCGAGAGAGAGAACATGAGCAGGGGGAGGGGCAGAGGGAGAGGAAGAAACAGACTCCCCGCTGAGCAGGGACCCCCCCCCCCCCCGACATGGGACTCGCTCCCAGGGCCCTGGGATCATGACCTGAGCTGAAGGCAGATGCTTAACAGACTGAGCCACCCAAGCACCCCAAACCTTCCACACTTTTACTGTCATCTTTCTCGCCTCACCGGGAAAGAGGTTAGAGCTGTTACAGCTGAGGGGAAAGGGGAGTGGTTTCAACGTGGATATCCCAATCATCATCGTTAACACTGCCCTTAAAACTGTCCACAGCATAGAATGAGACTTGAGCTCACCGATCAGGTGTTCCATAAAGGTCAGACTTGATCACAGCAGAAATGGCCACAATTATAGCTGGGACTCCATAGCCCACGGGGAACATGAGCTTCTTCATGAGCTTGCTCACACTGGAGTAGTTGACCACTGTCAGGTTGCGTGCAGTGAGGAAGAGATTCAGACCCTCCAGCAGCATCCAGGTGAAGGACGCCAGGTAGAGATAGTGTAGGGCACCCGCAATGATGGCACACAGCACCTGGGGGAGGAGAAAGATGTCACCAGGAGGGACTATCAGGGAGGAGGGTGACCCCAGGACCTTTCCCATACTTTGCCATTGAAGAGAACTCTCATGTATATGGTCGAGTTGTCAGGAGAGGGTTTGTCTCCTAATGTCTTCCATTCATTAGTCAATGTGAAATAGGCTACCTACCCCTCCAAACTCCCTGGACCCGAGGCCATTTTATTAAGGTATCAGTGCAGCACGGCTCCATGAACTGAGCACCCCTGGGACAGGGCAGGGGCTCCTCTGTGACAATGTCAGTACCTTGATCTCGGTCCGGTTGATGGCCGTGAGGAAGAGCAACTGGGCCAGGAAGAGGCAGATTGAGAGCTGCAGGTGGATCGAGGTGCTGGTGTTCTGGATGGCTTTGCACAGCAGGAAGGTGAGGGCTGCCAGGAGGAGGCACAGCAGAGAGATGCTCAGCCCCACACAGGTGATCACAACCAGCATGGAATCCTCCTCCTGGGACCCAGCAAAGAGGACATCATGGTCAGTCTCCAGGATTAATCCCCCTCCCCCTTGGAATGGGGCATCCCAAACATAGGCATGACTCCAGATGACAGAGAGTGTAAGAAGTATCTGTCAGACTAAGTCTTTTTCCCCCAGCTTTATTGAGGGATACCTAATATACAAAATAATATGCTAATTGAATGCACACATTTTGATGAGTTTGGACATAAGCACATATCTATGATGCCATCACCACAATCAAGGTAATAAACGTATCCATCACCTCCAAGATCTTGTGTCTTTTTGCTTTTTTCTTTCTGTGATAAGAAACAACATGAGATCTACTCTCTTAATAAGTTTTTAAGTCCACAATTCTGTATTAACTATGGACTCTATGTTGTATAGCAGACTCACCTTGAAATGAATGAATATGCTAGGCTAAGTCTTGCACCCAAGAGCTGCAGGAAGCCCCGTGTAGCAGAGGCTATTAATCTCTTCACACTCATTGGTATCTGCCCTTTGGCTGCTTTCTGTGAAATCCAGTGACCCTGCCTGAGAGTATTTCTCCTGACACACGAACATGCTTGGACGTGCCAGAAGGAGTCACAAATACCAGGATGTTAATGCCCCTTGAAAGCTGCCCTCAAGCAATAAAAGTAATGGCATTGGTGAATAAATACCTCAGCTCCCTCACCTTTATGTGGGAAGGCTCTGAGATGCATGTTCTGTGATATCTCCCAGAAGTAACCAATGGGATTGAGTCCCAGTTGTCCATGGGGGTAACTTTCTCTTTAACACATCCTTTACTGGCTGCCTACTCTTCTCTGTCTTACTTCCTTATTGTCCTACTGATGTGTCTTGGGGTAACCTCCTAGAGAAACTACTCGCCTTCAAATTTTTGTCTCAGGATCTGCCTTTAGGAGATCCCAAGCTAAGACATCTGTATAATTCAGCTCTTGGCGACTCATCTCCTTAAAGACAGGAGCCAGGAATCTGGTGAGCCACTCAGACTGATAAGACTCACAAGTAGGAAATGATAGTTGCCATCCCTTATAAGGATATGCAGATTTTCACTTGTTTCAATATCACTTTATAGAACTTTTTAATCCTTTGCTTTTTTAACCTTAAAAAATTGTGAAATATAACACACATACAGAAAAGAGCATACACATAAATGTATCACATGATTAAAAATTATTAAATGATTTGTAAGATCATTAGTTTGTAGACATTACCCCAGAAGCTCTTTCCAATTGCAAAACACCTTTTTCCTCAGAGGTAACCAGGATCCTTTTATGATAAGCAGTTCCTGCCTATCTTTATAGTTTCACCACTGAAGTATGCAACCCCTGAGAATATGGCTTAGTTGTGTCTGTTTCTAAACTTTGTACAGATGGAAATATACTCTGCTCCACACAGTCACTCAGAAACCCATGATAACAGAGGCTACACAATCTGGTAGCTACACCATCTGGAGAATGTTGCTTTCTTGTCACCCTGGGGGGTCCCACATGGGATTTTCTAAGCCTCATCCCAGAAAAGTAGCCTTGCTTTCTTTTTTCCTTTCAAATTTTTAATCAAATTCTAGTTAGTTGACGTACTGTATAATATTGGTGTTAGGAGTAGAATCCAGTGATTCATCACTTACATACAACACCCAGTGCTCATCATATCAAGTGCACTCCTTAATACCCATCCCCCATCTAGCTGATTCCCATCCACCTGTAGCATTGCTTTTAATAGCCCCCAGTGGGGAAACAACCTAGATGCACATTAACTGTAGAACGGATAAGTAAATTGTAGTACAGCCCTGCAAGGGAACATCATACAGCAATCCCGTGTCCATTAAGCACTTACCCCCGTTTCTTCCTCCCCCAGTCCCTGGCAACCAGTAATCTACTTTCTGACTCTCTGGGTTTGCTTATTCTGGACATTTCATATAAGTGGAACCATACAACAGGTAGCCCTTTGTGTCTGACGTCTTTCACTCAGCGCGATGTTTTCGAGGCTCACCCATGTCGCAGTACCACTGACTCAGTATTCAGCTTGCAGCTCAAATGCTTAATTCTTACAGAGGCCACCCTGACCTTTCTATGGAAAGCAGCATGCTTTCTGCAATCCCTCACTCTAGTCCCTTGTGTTTCCCCCCCTTTTTTATTTTTTTATTTTATTTTTTTAAAGATTTTATTTAT